GCTTACCAGAGCCTCTGATTGCAACATTTCTCTATTATTTTTCTCCTCCAGTTTCATGTCATTTATTATGTATTTGTGGGAAATATTAGAGTTTTTAAAAAGCATTTTCCTAATAATGTGGTAAACTGAGGCCTTCTAAACGGTGCATTAAAATTGCACAGATGTGAGCTTGTGGGTTGTTTTAGTTTGGTGGTTTTTTTTTTTTGTTTTTTTGAGGACCCTGTCAGAAAAGAGCTGAAACATCCAGTTGTCCCCAGAAACAATTTCCCACTAGGGATTTGTTTCCCCATTTTACATGCTTTTTAGCTCAGACTACCAGCCACAGGGAAGCACTAATTTTTCTTTTGCATAATTATTGTGGAATAAATTAATTTTGGAATCTCTGTTAGTTTTTGTCTAACTTGGCCAGAATGACTCTTCCAAGTTTCTATTTCAGCTCCAGAGAGAGATTTCTAGGAATATCTATGACAGGACAACTGATTCAGTTGTTCTTACATTATGTTTTTGTTGGCTTCCTTTGGCAATATTTAAAACATCTGGAAAACAATCTGCCTACTTATGAGCTGCTGTCCTTCCAAGAAATGTACTCCCTGAACTATCAGTAGGTCAGAGATGTTTGCAGCACGAGAGCTGGTGCTCCACTTGTGACAGCAGTTATACAGTGCGTCTGCTAAAGTTGCTGCTTACAAGAAGCTCACAGTGAAAAAGCACAGTTTTCTCTTCCACAGAATAGAAGTTACATTTGTGAACTTAACTAATAATTTTTTTTTCAGTTTCTGTTTCCTTTCACGTCATTTGCACTTATTTGTATTATTTTTCCCAAACTCACCATTAAAATTTTGTAGAGTATTTTTCCTTTTTCATTTTTCTTCACATGTTGCTAATCTCTCAAAAGCCTCATGTTTCCTAGGGTTTAAACTTCTTAAGCAGGTTGCTATTCCTAAATCAGCTGTGGGTTTTTAAAGAAATCTCCTCTTTCCTGCTTTGCTGTATTGAACATATTGCAACCTTTGGTCACCTATCTCTTCCACCTGCTAGCATGAATTAAATACATATCTTTTTATGATGATTTAATTTTTGAGTGATTAAGTGTTTTGGAGTTCTTAGTTCCACATTAGCCTTTTGTTACCTTTTCTCCTCCTCTTTCTTCTCCTTCTCCTTCTCCTCTTTCTCCTTCCATCTTTTGTTCCAAATTGAGATGATGATTAATAAAGGACTCTGTGCAAGAACTTCAAAAACACAAGCCATTCATGTGGTAGGTGAGCAAACATTATACACAAAGGCTCGAAAATGAAAAAGAAAGAGCTCTGCATCTTTAGCTGCTAATAAATGAACAACAGATGTGGCATTTCATCCTTACATGCATATGCAACTTCAGGGTTTGCTCTTTTAACAAAATAGTTGCCTGGAGATTCTTTTGCACTGCTCTGAGTTTCTGAGAAGACACAGCTAGCTGCAGCATTTTTTATCTTCTGCTTATGAGTTTGTATCATGTGTGTTGTCTCCTTTTCGTGCTGGTGGTACAGAGGAGTCTCTGCTCCAGAGAGGAACAGGCAAAAAGGTTTCTCTCCCTTACTCCAAGCTGATATACATGTACATATTAACCTAATGAAAAATAATTTTAATATTGAAATTTTTAATGAAGCTTTTAACTTAAATATAACTCCTGAAGATGAAAGAGAAGTTTTTGTTGAGTCAAAGAACATCATTATTAATAAATGGTGCTCTTTTTCAGGGTAACAACCTTTTTTGATTGCCCCTCTATGGTGAAGCATAACCTTATTGATTTGAATTTGTAAAACCCCTCTGGAACTACCATGACTCATGGGAGACCATGAAATCATTCTGTGACCTTCTAAGTCTCTCTGAAGTACGAGGAACAATAATTTCAAAATAGATAGTGCAATAATTCTAAACTACCAATTTGCAATATTTGGAATGAAAGACTGTGGGCGAAAATGGAGATACAAAAGGCTTTGGATGCTGGTAAACTACACAACAAATGTGCCAATTTATGTTGCTGAATGGTGAATTATTCTTCAACCTGTGCCTGTCATTTTCTTCTGGTCTTCATTCCATCCCTCTTTTCTATGTGCTGCAGGTTGCTTTTATTTTTCATCTGAAATAAATGCTACTGGGCAGTAAACAATCAACTGTAAGTTTGTATATTTGCTTTTTTATTTTGAAACTTCAGCTAGTCAAAAATGTTGGTTGAAAAATAAATTTCTCTAAAGAATGAGGTTTTGTCAGAAAATGCTTTTCTTTTGTGAGAAAATACAACTTACTCTATTTTTCTTTTCATTTTTCAGTGGCAAGGTCTACAAGGAAAGTAAGTTTCAATTTACATTTATTGGTTTCCATCAACTTTAAATTCAAACCATGCCTGTTTACTTTCAAATTTAATGCAAAAATATTTTGAGCAAAATTTCTCAACCAAATTTATCTAAAAAGTAAGAGGAGTTGTGAGAACAGCAGTGGCACAGCAGGTTTAGCTCTGCTCAAGCTCTGCTCTCATTGAATGGTTGGGTTCAGCTCCAGCTCCATTGGAGGGTGAATTCAACCCATGAGAACCCATGAGTTAGTTTTCCTTCTTTCTCCAATTTTACTAGGACCCATAAGCCCAGCCAATCTTACAGTATTTGATTGTTCAACTGTCTTAAAGCAGTGGGAAGGTTCTTTTGCTGGACAGACATTTACAGTCCCCATTTGGCCATGTTCTGCTTCTCTACCCTTAAGAGGCACAGCTCTCGTTCATGCTAATGTGAGGCACTCTTCAATGCTAATTAAAGACAGCATTACCCAGTGTCTATATTTGACAGTACCAATCACATCCATCATGTACAGGTCTGACAGAGCTATCAGTATAAGGAATCAGACATCTCTTTAGTATACCTTTTACATCTTTTTTAGTGAAAAAAGGCTCTCTTCACTGACAGCTCACAGGTCTTACGGCACACTCACCAAGATCTCTGAAGAGGAGTCATCTCTTTAATTGCAACTTTTAGAACTCACTGCTGTGGTTGTTAGTTAGCATGTTTTATTTCTAACTATACTTTAGAAATTAAACTGCAATGCAATGAAGTCACTGCTTTATTTGTTCTAGTACTTGCCAGTCCTTTAAACAACTTTTATTATTTGGCACAGACTAGCAACAGTTACTGGCTAGATATATTTGTGCCAATGTCAAGTTTCAGCCATTCACCAAGAAAACATGATTCAGACTGAGAAAACAAGGCTCTCTTTGGTGTCCTTATGAATTAGTTTATTTTATAATTTTTCCATGAGTTTTTGGCATATAGAAACACATGGTTTGGCCATTTCAGCACAAAAATATCAAAAAGATTGATCAGGAGGAAAAATGCAAACTCTTGGACACTCCAGGCATAGAGCACTGAGTCCTCCATGACTTCATCAGGATTTGGATGCTGGCAAAACACCAGCATGACCCACAAAATACCAATGAGAGAAAGAAATGATGCTCCTATGCAGCCCAAAATCTTAGGCAGTCCAGGAGCTTAAACCCTCAAGCCATTTGGCTGCCTTCTTTGGCTGCATTCTTTCTGTGAGAAACATGAAAGGGCATGTATCATTGAAGCCAGAATTGACCAAAAAGGCAGCATCAAACACATATTAAAATCTTACAACTTTGGGAAATCACAAAGTTTGGGGAAGAAAAAAGATCATTTCCACCCTTCTGCTGTAGAGCATAGGCAGAGCTCCCCCTTTATTTGTCTTGCTTGGCAACCAGGTTTTTTGGTAGCACCCTGCAGGCAACCCCTTCATACTGCTGCAGCCTGGCTACTGGAGCTGTCAAATCCTGCCCAGTCCCAAGGGGTGGAAGTAAATATGGGATAGAAATGCAGATACTGTAAAGACTGGATAGGAGAGATTGCTTAAGACCATGGGAGGGAAGAAATGAGACAAAGGACATTTAGAAGATGCCGAGAGGACCTAAAGCACTGATTGCAGTAACAGTGGCAGAATGGGCATGGGAAGGACAGCCAGGGCTGTTGAAAAGAGAGAGTGAGCATGAGTTGTTGAGAACAAATCCACAAGGACCCTCATCTTGATTAGCACCACTATCACGGAACCACTTGTTTTAATTTGATAAGGAAAGGAGGTGAGATAGGCAGCTACGTGCTCTGAAAGAATGGCTCAGGGAGAGTTCCCATATAAGCAAATGTTCAGAGGAGTACAGTAGTTTCATTCAGCCTCAGTCAAAGGAAAAATGTAAGTCTGCCCCTGCTGGGACCAAGAACATTTGGACTCTAAATGTCCTCTTCCCTGCTACTGACAGACATTCAAACTCAAAAGCAAGAATCTCTGAAGGATGCAGAAAACCATTCCTGCCAAGGAAAGACAATAAGTTGGCCAGAGGTGAAATACAAATAAAAGAAAACTCTGGAGCTTCAGCTTCCTTCAAATCCATGTCATACCAGTGTTCTCTGAAGTACTGGTACCCAGTACCTATGAGATGGCTTTTCATGAGGATTTGACTTTGTGAATGAAAGGAACAAATTATGTAAGAATAAAAATTACTTTCAAAAATCTGTACTTCCAGGATGATCATTTCCATTTTCTTCCAATCCCAGGGCAAAGGCCCACCTGGTTCCCAGGAAAATTAGGAGATACAGCGCACCAAGAAACATTTCACCTATGCAGCAGGCTGACACAACCAATAAGACAACCAATAAACTACTGCCAGAACTGAGTTTAGAGCTCAAGGATGCCACATTGGACTGACAACTCTGATTCACCTGCTACTGCACTGTAGCTTCTGCCTTCAGCCATCTGCCCTGCCTCTGTCTTCAGTGTTTCTGTTGCCAGTGCATAGGTGGCTCCTGTGCTGACAAAGCAGTATCTGGGGTGGAGCAGCACAGCTGGCATCTGTTTTGTTTTCTCTCTAAACACCGTGTTCTATTGTGCAGGAGTTCAGCTGATGCTGCTGGAGCAGCTGAGCCACCCCGCAAGAGGAATGGGACAGACATGCAGAAACGAAAACAGGTATGGTGTCCTGGGATGAATCATTTCACACATCTATTTTAAATAAAACTGTCATAACTTTCATGCCATGTGATCAATTTGTCCTCCATTTACACCTCCAAATTTTCTCTCCAATACAGAGGCCTGAATTACCACTAAGCAGTAGTTGCTTTAACATTGTTTTCAAGTGGTTTTGTAAAATGGAAGTATCACAGCTCAGCATAGCAGGATATCTGCAGGCAAAGTCCATCATAGTTATTTACACTGAAACTTCCTAGGGACCTGTAGAAAAAGGCATATCTTAAAGACTCAGTAAAGATGTTTCCTTCCATCTTGACTCATCAGCTGACATATTCCATATGCTCTGTTTTTCTCACTATTGATTTAACTAACAATAGAAAATATATTTAATGAATTATGATCCTGTGACAACAAATTAGCTAGACTAGTATGTATAAAGGTCTCTCTTTAAACTTTAATTAGTTTAACAATGATGTGCCTGCTGCCAGTGTTTGCGTTTCAAGAAAACATGCGGCAGCCTATAAGCACAATGCTTTCTATTTAACATAGAAAGTGTCTCTCAGTCCAGGCTTATTTATAAAGCAATTTTCTAATAATGATCTGGATTCAGTGGAGTTCAATCAGTGATGGAGCTACCCTGGCATACATAAAATGAATACATTAAACCACCCATCAAGTACCTGACTGCACAAATACACATAAAGAATGGGGGAAGGGAGAAGAAGAGAGGTGACTCTTGAGTTAGATCTCTTTTTCCTGCAAACACTCTCCTCTTCCCACTCCTTGCTCAAAGCTGGAGAAGGTGTCAGGCTGTGATGGAAGAACTACATGTTCTTCCAGCCTTCCCTTGAGCATCCTGTGCGTTGTACACTTTGCTGCTTCCATAGGTCTGTGTGCAAGAGACACTGCTATTCACACAAGATCCCTGATGGTCTGTCTGACCTCTCTCTGCTTCAGGGGGTCCCCATACCACCTCCTCTCTCGCCTCACATCACACATAGTGCCCCATCCCATAGCACATGCCTGCTTTCCCCCACACAACACACTCCCTCCCTTGAGGACAAGGGGAGGAGAATGCACCACTTCCCTCTACCACTCTCCATATTCTCCTTACTCACCATTTCCACATGGCAGCTCCCCTCTGTGCCCCGGACTCCACTTGACATTTGTTCTGAGATGCCTTTTTCTCTCATTTTCCTACACCACCCATCTCTGTTTCCCTGCTCACATCCTTGTGCCCTCACTCTCCCTCTTCCACCTCTGTCCCAGGAGGACACAGCCCAGACCTACCCCTAGGAAGACAGGTCACTGTTGTGAGAGTCCAGAACAAGCCAAAGCACCCTCCTTTTTTGGGCACGTCCCTCTGCACAAGCAGGAGGTGCTGGGGCACTACTGCAGAACAGCTGCTCTTTCTGGTAAAGTGAGCTGTGGTGTCTCTCTCTGACGTGTCTTTTATGGAGCTTTCAAACAAGAACCCTCTCTCCTACTAATGCCTGAGAAAACTTGTGGCAAATAAATATTGCATAAGTTCAGAAGCTCAGTTTTATCTATGGCCTGAAAAAGAGCTTTGTTGTCCCAACAAACATGGACTGGGCCTTCAATGCTTGCATTCAGTGACCTGAATCCAGGGCATTAAATATTGACTGGTTCATATGGCTGAGGAGATAGTGGTTGGAAGAGACCTCTGAAGGATGAGTCCAACCTCCTCTGAAAACAGGACCATTGCCAACATCACATGAAATATCTTCAAATTTCTGCTGCTAATTCAAAGAGAAAGGTTTGAAAGATTTCTAGAAGCCACATGTGAGGTAAGAAGGTGGCACATTATCTGTCGAAACACCAGGCTTTGTTCTCTGTCTGCTGCTGGGTTCAAGGACAGGAACATCCTTCCACATGCTCTCAGTGTCACCACAATCTTCTATGGATGTGTGGGGATCTTGGCCCCTGGAAAAGCTGGTAGAGTGCTTGAAGAAACTCATCAGAGCCACTGGAAAATCAATAGAACAGTTAATGCACTTCACCTATGGTCCAGAATTGAACCATATGCATGGTTTCTACTTGAAAGCTCATTTCCCCAAATTACCAGCATCTTTAATTCTATTCCTAAAGTTATGCAGAAACAACATAGCAGAACATGAGGCCATGAATGTCACAGGGAATGGCTCCAATTTGTGTGCCATAGATCTGTTTTGTGGACATAAAATCTACAAAAAGTCCTACACACCAAGTGTGGCAGAGAGTTAAACAAAATTAAAAAGGAATTTTCTGCTTAATACGGCAGGAGGAGGAGAGGCAAATGGTTGGAAAGGTGAATGAATAGGCATACTTTAGCATTTTCAGGCCGCTTTAGGTGCACTGCATCTCACCTCACCACTTGCCCCACCACTCCAAGTAGGAGGTTTCTTCCAGGGAAGGCAGCAGGGACACTGAGAGAGAAATGGAAGTGCAGACTCCTACTCTGAGGATGTTATCTAATCTAATTTTGGTGTGACTGAATCTCAGCCAAAATCACTGGATGAATTCTCTAAGCCCTGGCAACTCAAAAATGCTACAGTAGAATATTGTATAGGTGCTTAGTGGCCCCTAAAAGCAGGAGAAAGTGTTGCTTTGTTTGGTTTAGGTGGCTGAGAGTTTATATGAGGGGTGGGAGCTCAGTTTAAATGCTAATTGACTCATAAACAAGCCTGAATTAAATAAAAGAATCAACTAGCATCAGCTGAGCTAGATCAGTTTAAAAATGCAGGCTTTTGTTAACCAGAGAGAGTTTGTATTGGGATAGGCCAGGCATTGCTCCAAAAGCAGCATCAGATTAAACCTCCTACTCGAAAAACACTCATTAAAAAGCAACTTCCATTGAAAAAGATCCTACTTGTCGCTACCAGCCATTGTTAGGCAGTGAAGCAGTGACAGATATTTTTGAAGACTATTATGGGGAAATAAATATTTATTTAGCTGTCTAAAGTAATTAATCCCTGCTGTTTCCTTTTTATGTAAGCACATACAAGGCAAGACTGTCTTTGTACTTGAGTTTTAGGAGACAAGTCTGTGTAGAGGCTCCCATGGTTTTTGAAGGCAGTAACAAATTCCTGCCTAATACTTTCTGTGCAACTCGAGAACGCCAACCATCAAGCAGCAATAATAGACTTTTCCTATCCCCTTTCAGTGGCAGCAGGAAGGAGATATACTAAGGGGAAAGAACAGAGACAAGAAAGGTGAGAAAGTAGAAACTGTGAGTGACATGCAAGGATGCAAGAAGCTGGCCCACTGCTGGCGTGGGATTTGATGAAGGAAATCGCTTTCACAGGGTATCAATTTGAGAATAAAAAAAAAAAGGGGGGGGGAAATGAAGGGAGATTAAGCTGTAAAAGCACAAGAAAAAGGATCAATAACCATCTTGGATGTATTTTCTGGGAAGCTGGCATGGATAGCACAAAGATGTTTCGTAGTGAATATGTTGGCACCCCTCCCATTGACAAGTTATACAGCCAAAGTGCAATTAGCACATTCAGAGGAACAATAATTACACAATACCAAACAGGCTGTCCATAGGCTGATTAAAGCATACAATAAAAATAGAGATATAGGCCACAGCTCAGCTCTCATACAAGAACCTCTCTGCCCTAAGAACCCCTTGAACAAGGTATGCCTGCACTGTAGCATATGAGCTAGAGATGATAACTACATATGAGCTTGATAACATGCAGATTGTTTTTGCTTTTTAAATTTTAGCAGGTAAATGTCATTGCTACACGTTTAAAATCAGAAGCAATTTTTTAAAAAGTAGCTCAAGTGCTAAGTTCCATATTTCTTTTTCCCCAGAAGTATTTTATTGCAGAGTAAAATGACAGATGCAATTAGATAATGTTGAGCAGATTATAGTTTGAGAATGTTATGCTGTGTTACATATTCACGAGTGAACAATAGCAAGGGGAAAAAGGAAGGTGGGTATCTTAGTGCCTATTTTTAAATTTGGACAAAGGAATGTGTCTTTTCCGGGTAGGAAAATATTATGGGGCTCTATGAATTCAGTTGTGTTATCTCTTCTCAGCTACATGAGGAAGCTTTTATGACTCAGTTTATCTTTATAAATCACACTGGTATTGCTAGAAAAATTTCATAATTACCAGGAGCTGGATTCATGGCCACATGACTCTTGAGCTCAGAATCTCTGAGCTTGTTTTCCATTGACACAAAGGTTTTCTTGCAAGCCTATGCACTTTACTTTGTTGACCTATGTCTCAACTTACCTATCAACAGGAAATCCCTTGGACTGTGAACCAACTACCTATCAACAAAAGTACAGTACGGGTTAGGAAAGATTACTCCATTAAACTGAGCCCTCCTGGAGATCTCCACCTTCCAGAATAAATCAACAACAGAATTCAAGAGAATCACTAAGTTGGAAGAGACCTCCAAGATCATCGAGTCCAACCCATGCCCTAAAACCACAACTAAACTATGGCACCGAGTGCCACATTCAGTCTTTTTTTAAACACATCCAGGGATGGTAAGTCCACCACCTCCCTGGATAGACCATTCCAGTACTTCATTATTCTTTCCATGAAAAACTATTTCCTAATATCCAACCTGTATTTCCCTTGGTGCAGCTTGAGGCTGTGTCCTCTCATTCTGTCAGTTCCTGCCTGGAGAAAGAGACCAACCCCACCTGCCTACAGCCTCTTTCAGGGAGTTGTAGAGAGTGATGAGGTCACTCTGAGTCTCCTTTTCTCCAGGCTAAACAACCCCAGCTCCCTCAGCCGTTCCTCACAGGGTTTGTGTTCCCAGCCCCTCACCAGCCTCGTTGCCTCCTCTGGACGCGCTCAAGGGTCTCAACGTCCTTCCCAAACTAAGGGGCCAGAACTGGACATGAAATATATATATATATATATATAAAATATATAATGAAATAGGGCAAGAACTGGTCCTTATTCCTGGTCTATATTTCATCTAACTTTTGTTCTTAGAAAGAAGTTATCTAAATTTGAGTCACTTTATTCTTTTATATTCAGTGGCAAAAAGGACTCAGCTTCACAGGGTGATTTGTTTTGCCTGTTTCGGACCACCTTTTAGATATGTTTCATCTAAAGGAAAAAAACATCCTCTAATTTCTTTTCATTGACTATAAACAAATAGCTCAGGATAACTTTCAGATCTGAGCAGACATCATTTTAAGATACCTAAGAGAGGTGTAATAAGACTGATACTGTGGGAAGAGCACAGAGAAAACACATTATGCCTTTCCTCCTCATTTTTACCCACACAAGAGCCAGGCACAATCAGACTCCATGCTTTAAAATTATTTTAGCCAGAAGTGCAGATTTACCCAGTTTCATCCTGCCTGTAGTCTGAAAGATCATGCAAAGATAAAGGATCCCTTCCCATTCTTTGCAAAGGAGAGTGTGGGTCCACCTCAAGCTCACCTTTTCTAGGCTCACAGAGACATCCTGTGTGATTAGGCAGGATGAACAACCCTTAGCTTTCACCACCCCTAAAAACCCTGTAACTTCCCTTGCAAAGCATCCACTCTGACATCATTTTGTGCCAGAACTGCCCTGGCAAGGTGAAGTGGGATATTTGTGTTGACGGACCCATGTGAGAGCAGACCTGAGAACTGGCTCCCTTAGAGATGGTTTTAATCTCATTCTTTCACAGTGACAGTGCTCTGATTACAGTCCCACAAGGCAGCACAACACAAGGTCTGTGTCTCTACCAGCAATGCACAATTAGATACAAGGCCATCAAACTCACCTGAACTTGTTCAAGAAATAGATGGAGTGGGCTTTGCTAACTAAATATAGCAACACTCCATCCCTTCTTTGCACAAGTCAACAATTTTTTTTACTCAGAGATTCATAAACCCAGCTTCTGAGTCACTGGACAAAAACAAGAATATATTTCAATAATTTCTCTACCTTTAGATTCATTGTTTTATTACTCAAATAATAAGCATCATAAGTAGCTTGTTCCCCACCCTTGCTGCTGTCCCATTCCCTTTTGTCTGTAAATCCCTGTTATTTCCATTAGCTGACCAGTCAAGCACTCTGCAACCTGACTTAACACATTGACAGCCATTGAAACCTCTCCTGTTCTATAGAGTCACTGGATGTTGCTCTCAAATTAGTAAACAGGTGTTATCAATACCCCATAACAGGCAGAGTGTGCAAGGTGTCTCATTTAGAATGATTCAAATAAATCTTACAGAGATTGTAAGGAATGCTGTGAATGTGCTCAATCTTGAATTCATTTCAGTGTGGGAATGGAATACTATGATATGTCTAAAGAATAATTTCCTTCTATATTTGCAGTGGATTTTATTCCTTATGTAATAGAATTTAACTTTCAAATGACAACCAAAAAGTATTTCATTGCCCTCCACAGATTTTACATAAACACTTTATAAGCTCCACTCCATGTGGAATCTGTAACAGATGCATTTAACCTTCAAGGAGAAAACTCAGTTCCATTTCATTCTGTATGACAAACCTGTGGCAAGTCCCTTTTTCCTCTTTAAGTGTCCCCAGCTGCAAAATGCCTAAAACATTATTTGCTTTATTGTTTAATTTCATTCTCTAATTAATTTGATTAAGCCTCTCAAAATAAGTAAAATTTCTTCAGAATAACACAGCCTTTATTTTGGTCAATTTTGGTCCCTTTCAGCAGGTAATCCTTGATAATGTAATCACGGGGTATAGAAGGTTTCATATAATAATGAAAGACAAAAAATTTAAAAGAGAGACAGGAGGAAGCTACTGGAAGACTGGAGTGACAATAAAAGATGACTATAACCCAAAGTTGCATTACTTGGAGATTATTACTGATGTTGCAAGAGCTACCATATGCTTTGCAAGCTGTGACAGTCACCCTTGTAGTCACATGGATGAAATGATCAACTGCTTTTTGCATTCAAAGTGATAGGAACAAACTTGATCCAAGTAAGAGAAGCTGCTGTGTAATAAACAGCACAGGAGCATCGTGTGGATTAATTACTTTGTGGGTCACTTGTTTTGGTTTGGTTTGGGTCCTCCATTGAAGGTTCGTGCAGTAAGTGCAACATCTATTTACCAATGTATTGCAGAAGAAAAAGCTAAATGAGTTCAGGGAGTTTCCATTTAATTAATTCATGCAATCATGCTTATGCATCATGTCACATGTTTGACACCCTTAATGTCAGTGATGTACTGTCGTGCCCTTAGCACAGAGATGACGAGCCTGGTCTGAGTGGCAGACAGAACTAAAGTAAATTGCCCAGGGTTTCCCAGGGATATTTAGAGACTCAATATATAAATACCTACATAAAGGTATTGTGTTCTTATAGCCTGCTGCAAACCTTGTGCTGCATCTTCTGCACCCTGAATAATTCTGGAGAGGAGGTGGCAAAACTGCTTCCAGATGGGATGTTTAATACCATCACAGTGGCCCTTCCTTGGCAATACCATAAATACTTTAGGAGGCACCAGAGTGCATCAAGCCTTGGCACACCTGAATGCACCCTCGACAGACCTTGAAGCATGGATCGAAGGGTATGCCTCAGAAATCTCCCACTGACCTCATTTTGGATTCAGACCTGACAAGATTTTAATCCCCCCTGCCATCACGATGGCTCTGTTCTCAGCAGAAGTAATACACTCTCATTAT